GCATCGAGCATAAACGATGTAGCCTGGGCAGCAACGCCCCACACGTGTGAGCAATACTCGAGGGTAGGTCTTATCTGGGTCTTGTATAGAGTGAAGAGGTCATGCGGAGGTATGTACTTCTTAGCCCAAAACAGAAAGCCTAGCTTTTTCCAGCAGCTGCCGCTATTGACGAGATTTTCGTGCCTGATCTGGACTCCGACCAGCCAAAATGAACGGCTCTTTGGCAAAATTCGGCCATCCATAGAAGCCGGATGATCGTTAGAACGCTTTTTGTTCTTCAAGGTACAGTACTGTGTTTTGGAAGCATTAAACGGTACAAGATTGTTGCGTCCCCAAGCAGTGATAACCTCTAGGTCTATCGTCAAAGAGGAAGTCGCAGCTAGTCAGCAAAGCTGTGGATTGGGTTGATCAAACAAGTAAGGAGGTCGTTAATATGTAAGAAGAACGATGTCGGAGCCAAGACCGATCCCTGGGGAAGTCCTTCGTTCACGTTGTAGTATAGTTCAAGGAGCCAATCTGAGAACGTTGGGCGCGAAAAATGGTCGGCCCGACGCAGCTCTTGCGTCAATTGGATCTTGTAGGCGTGTACATTCAAATCCTGGTGGAGAATGCGGAGCAAACTGGTTCTCGAAATGCCCAATTCTTGGGATCGACGCGTTATTGATTGTTTCGGATCGTCTCTCACACTCTCCTTCACAACAGCAATATTTTCCGGTGTGCGAACGCTCCTTGGCCGGCCAGAGCCTGGCATATTTGCCACAGAACCTGTTGCCTCGAATTTACGCACCAGACGACCGATGGTTGTTTCGTTTGGGCGGTTGTTGCGACCGAAATGTTCACGAAGCGCGCGAAACGTGTTTTTTATTTTTGCACCATTTTTGTAGTGCTCTTGAATAACTTTAATGCGGTCTTCAATCGAATACGACTCCATTGCGATCAATGGTATACATTCAACTAACAAAATGACATGTCGGTGACAGAAAACAAAGATGGCGTCTATGTCAAATTGACGTTTACTTTCCTGCGTCCCTATTGGACAACCCTACTCAAAGAACTTCATTTTGAGTATAGAAAACTGGTTATAAATGGTAGCCAAGACAGCCAAGACATAATTTTATGGAGAAAAATTTATTTAAAATCAATAAAGAAACACCGCGACCAGGGCGTTAAGATTTATTACTTGGATGAAACCTGGATAGATGCAGGACATGCAAAACCTAAAGTACGGATTGACTCTAGAATTAAATCAGCAAGACAAGTCTTCTTAGATGGACTAACCAGTGGCCTAAAGAAATGGACGGGAGCTCATTTGAACGATGGTTTGAAGAATCGCTCCCAAGGCTTGACGACAATGCCGTCATTGTACTTGATAATGCTGCATACCACACTAGAAAAGTAGAAAACATTCCCACAATGAGCCGTATTCATAAAAGAGAAGCATAAGGTAAAAGTATAAGAACTTGCATCGGAGAAAAAGGTAGAAGTATAAGCATATCCTTGTTTTCATATTCATAATGATTACCTTATACTCGCGAGGATATGCTCCAAGAAGAAGTAAAAGGTTGACTGGTATTTGTATCTTGAGCGACATGTCCTGACTTGTTCTAGCTTGTAGTTGACGTGGGTGTTCACTCAGCACCACTGACAGTTGTATTCCAGAGCTTACACAGACCGTTCAGTATTTTTACTGGATACAGTTTTTTATCAAATTAATAAGCATGTCATCCTCAAGTGATGAGGAAACTATAGAAAATAATAATAATAAGAAGGTCATAAGGCATGGCTCAATATCATAACCGTCATCGCCAAGTAGTACAACATTTGCTTTATTTATTAGTTGTAATCTAGTCTGTGAATTTCTCCATATTCTGGAATCATGCACTGATCCAGGCCATCTGACATCAACACTTGTGAACATCTCTCTGGCATCACAAGTGGCTTGCACATTTAAAGTAGGTTTCCCTTTTCGGTTGGTATAAACACCTCCATTCAACAATGGCTCCTATCAAAAGACATTAATTTCAATGAAAATATGGTCAAAGAAGAACTGATTCATCTAGTCTATAATCTTAATGTTGTTGGCGAGATGGCTACCCCCTTTATCACCTCGAATTAAATCCCACTGAAATGATGAGGGCAAATATGGAAAACTGTGTGACTTCAAACAATAGAGCATTAAAAATTTCTGAAGCTGTCAACAGAGTCTTTTAATATAAGAATAATCATTTACTTTGCTAAATTATTGCAAGACCATTGAGGAAAATACGGACCGGTACGATCTCGTTTTTGGTTGTTGTATTTGGTCTGGACGTAAATGTACTACGAATGATGTATAGTAACAAACGCATTTCCTTTTTTCAACCTAATTCGAAACCACCGTATCAGGTTTTCGACGTATTCGGATATGATAGAGACACTCTGTAAAGGCCATCAAAATAAAAACGTTCCCCTTGGGTATCCGCTGTTTATCTATCTCGTAACCTTGGCACACTTAGCGCTGTAGAGTGAACATCGTGCCGAGAAGACAGTGCTAATGTAAGACGGCACTGCAATAAATTAGGCGTAGCGAGGCTGCTTTTTCCGAATAATAAAAAACGATTTCGTTACGAAAATGAGCGTAACGGTCGTCGGAAGCCGGAATTCCAGAGAACGGGAACGGTTTCCTTCCTCAACTTTCCAGACTCCCGGACAGAGATATTGCCGTCATCAGTTACGGACGGATTTCCTCAATGATATTCAGTAGACAGATCGATTTGAATCGAATTAGGGTATATCTGGTCGTGTTATGTATATTAGGTTCATGCTAGGGGTATTGTGCTTCATAGTCCAGGACTATTAGACGAAAAGGAGGCTAATCTGCTGAAAAAATCCCACCTGCCTGAATTTTTCACCAGAGCTTCTTTTCAATATTATAAATAATTTCTCAAAAGTCCCCATGAATCCAAGTGGAAATTTGTTGTTATGGGGGGTCAAAGGTCGCAAAAAACACTTTTTTACGTATATTTTCGGAAATATCCATTCTACGATAAAATGAGCAATTACCTTTTTTTGATCAGTTTGAAATTATCCACAAAAAAGATCTAATGCATTTTTTGGTAGAGTTGATATTTTCGAAGATGAGAGACACATTTCCTTAAAGCACAAGTTTTGTCCTTTCAAATGCCGATGAGGTTTTAATCCATTTCTTTACAACCGTCTGTTTGGAGCAACATTTTAAATCCTCTCCATCTAACTATTCGATTGTGTATACAGGGTGTAAAGTTAGTAGTGCATCAGTGATAGACGGCCTCCAAACCTATCGAATGAATCCCTATATGTGTGGTCGGAAAGTTCAGGAGATATTTGCAATTTTGAGAAATATCGAAAAAACGGGGTAATGAACTTTCAGTCGCAATTACAACTAAACCATTATGTTTAGGGCTGTGATTTTTTTTCTGAGACGAGCTAAATGATAAGTTTTAGAAACGGTTATGTCACTTTTTAACAGAGCTCATTAGAAGTCAACGCAAAAAGTATTTAATTAATTTTTTTTTTTTTGTGAAAAAACTCTTCCATCCCTTGTGTATAGTGGCATGATTTGGTGTAAAACAATCCCATATTTCTTGAGGCTTTTGTCTCAGTTCGGTGTTTGTACGAGCAGGATGTTGTCGTAGAACCTTTTTCATCTCGTGCCACAAAGTTTCAATAGGTGACAGAACTGGACTGCTAGAAACCCATTTCAAAAGTGGTACATTGTTTTCTTCCATCCATTTTACGGCCTTTTTTGAGGTCTGGCACGCTGCACCATCTTGCTGAAACACAAAATCTTGGCCGGATGTCAAACATTCTTCCATCACTGGTAAAAGCGCTTCTTCTAAAATTGCCAAATATTTGCTTGTTTCCGCATTTCCATCAATAAAATGAAGTTTTCCTACTCCTTTTGATGACATACTGCCCCAGACCATAATGGATGCTGGAAATTTCACTTTTCTCTTCAGAGAGTTAACATGGAATGCTTCATTTTTTTTGCGAATAACTCTACTGCGACTGTCACCACCACAAACTTCGAATCGGTCCTCATCACTCCATTGTATTGCACACCATTGTTGAGGTGTCCATTGTCTATGTTCTTCAGCCCATCTAAGCCGATTTTTCTTTTGCAGTGGAGTGAATAGTGGCTTTTCTTTGACCTATGAACAAGTTGTGCAACTTTAGGGTTTTTAGTACAAAACTACCCAAAACTATTTTAAACGTATTCTGACAGCTGTGATTAATAAAAACAATTACCATGGCTTTTATTTTTCACAGCCACCTATGCGCTATAGACTTATTTTGCATTGAAATGAAAATAGGTTGGTATGTTGTAATTGCAACATGTGTTATTTTTATGCTGCAAATTTGATTAGGGAGTGATAAAGTTGGTGTTTTCTACTATATATTATCAAAATATTCATTGTTAATATTTTAAACCTATAACACCCTGATAAATTTTTATTATTTGTGTTTGATAAGAAAAAAACTAAGATTTCAATAGTTGGGCCAACTGAAGTGGGAAGGGGCTCGTAGTTGTAATTGCGACTGGAAGTTCATCACCCTATGTTATTTTTCGAAACATCACAAAATTGCAAATATCTCCTGAATTATAAAAGTTCGGACCCCACATATAGCTGTTCATTCGATATGTTTTGAGACCCCCTATCACCTGACTTCCGTTTATCCACTACTTACTTCACACCCTGTGTATAGGTATTTTGGGGATAAACAATACAATGTAAACGTATAGACTAATCTATTCGACCTTGTTGGTTTGAACAGATTCTGTACTGCTACTGTCCTAGATGACGCTTGGATGTTTAATCCGTCTTTAACACCGTCTTTTAATACCATCTTGCCGGAGAACCATTCTTTTTAGGGCAACGAGCGCAGTAGAATACACATACATGCAATACTCTCACTGACACCCGCTATACCAAGTAAACCAAATGAATACCGTAAGTGAATGTGATGTTGTTTTGTTTCAGAGTGGGGCGAGGGCCACAGTGGCTTTCACGGCATGGAGGTGGAGGTCCGCGAGGAGGCCGCTGTCGCTGACAGAGCCCCCTCGCGGGAAACCACCGCACTACTGGGCAACAATACTCCTTACTATCCCATCACAGGTAACACGTCATTTAATACTAACGTATTTTTTATATGCCCTGAGTATAGTGATTAGCGAATCAAAAAATAGATTTCTTAGTCTTAGGCCCGTATCGTCAGTCGTCCCTACAATTGTAGGGCGCCTTTATGGTCTCCTTGATTGTCATAGTTTTCTACTTCTCCGTGCCACCGCTCACAAACACCTATTTGCATCAAATTCTGCTTGCTTTTGAGTTATATCATGTTTTATCAGCTTGAAATTTCCTACAATTTAAAAAGAAAACATATCTTCACAATAGGAGAGCACTGACACGCGACAAGTGTAATCTAGAAATTTTTGAAGGAGAGAAAGAAGTATGACAATCAAGGAGGCAATAAACGCGCCCTACAATTGTAGGGACGACTGACGATAGGGGCCTTAAAGTAGAGATCGTTTATTGTGATACAAAGTTTCATACATAGTTCTTTATAAACTTGTTTAGAAAAATATGTTACTGAATTTTGTTGTCAATTTTTAAGAATGTCAATAAATTCTTGTAACGCATTTCGTATGTAAAAAATAGTTATTTATTATACCAGGGAAGAAAGTACTGCGCTGCGCCTCGGGAAACAATACAACCTCAAGCTAAAATCTAGTATTTTTCCCATGTATAATACACAATTTTTTTTGTGACGGGAAAAAACGACGATTTAATATTGAAAAATCATATTGTTACAATATTTAAGTCAGAAAAATATCGATGGGAAATTTGAATTTTGAAACAAGTAGGCTATGTTGTACTTATAGCGACAATTAGACCTGAGTTGCTAAGGAAACTTTTAAAGTAATCAAATAGCTATCAATTTAACTTTGTGATTTTATTTGTAAATTGTGTGCTTAGTGATTGTTTAGAAGTTATTTTTAATATTATAAGGTAAAAAATGTCTAGTTCCGAGTTTTCATTGAAGCCACCGGAATTAGTAGAAGTAGCCAAAGTCACAAAAATTATTGCCAGCTAAATATATGTTATACAATATCCAGGAAAAAGTACACATTTCATAAAAAGTGACATCTTATTACCTGTCAACAGAGATAGAATGTCAAACTTTTTTCCCGTCACAGAAAAAACTATATTTCTGTCAAGTTCGAACTATCATCTGTCATAATGTCAAACATCTATTCTAATCACACCTTTTGTTGCGGTTTCGGCCTGATGTTTTCTTTGCAGTTTGCCGTCAGTTTTCGTGGTTGTCTTCTACTACTGTTGCCACCTTTTTCTTATCCCAAACCTATTGACTTTCAAATGACTGATGTCTCTGGCGACCACTGTATATCTCTGCGCACTTTCAGTACTAAATTGTTCAGATCAGGTTCTGAAAATTTTGGAACTAAATTGTTAATAAAAGCTTGATTACGTAATTCAATGGACTTTTAATAACGTATCGTGATAAACTGCCTTAACACAAAGCTCAGCCACTGATATCTAAATATTATTCACTAATTTTATGTAACAAGTGCACACCGAATCATTGAAGCCTGTTAAAAAGATGGTGAATGTGCCGGTGTAGTGCTGGTCGTTTCTAAAAATGGTGGATGTGCTTAGTCATTTCCTACGAGACTGCTGTTCTACATATTATTTCTACATATTTTTTAGATTTTGCTTCACAAGTTTCTATACATTCTTAAGACTCTCCATGAATCCTTTTTGAATATGACTAGGTAAATTATTGAAAAATCTATATTGTATGGATAAGTAGACAACACTGAGATAGACATGTTTGCTGTCCGTCTCTGTAACTACGACCCGTAGGGATCTTTCACCGTATCTAATGAAGATGAAGTTCAGCTTAGCAAACTGTTGGTAGGTGCAGATCGCCAGATTTTCCACTTACCTCCGCAGAGTATTTTGAGCTTTTCAAATGACCATACCCATCCTTAGTCTTAAAGTGGAGATCGTTATTGAGATACACAGTTTCATACATAATTCTGTATAAAACTTGTTTGGAAAAGATATGTTACTGAATTTTGTTGTCAATTTTTAAGAATGTTAATAAATTCTTGTAATACATTTCATATGAGGTAAAAAATAGTTATTTATTGTACAAGGGAAAAAGGTAAGTAAGTTTCCCGTGTATAATACACAATTTTTTCTGCAAAGGGAAAAACGACGATTTAGTATTGAAAAATTCTATTATTACAATATTTAAGTCAGAAAATTATCGATATGAAACTTGAATTTGAAATTAGTAGACTATGTCGCACTTATAGCGACAATTAGACCTGCGTTGCTAAGGAAACTTTTAAAGTAATCAAATAGCCGTTCAATTTCATTTGTTATTTGACTTAAAGACTGTGAATTCAGTGGTTGTTCAGAAGTTATTTTTAATACCATAAAATGAAAAATGTCTGATTACGAGTTTTCTTTGGCTCCACCGGAATTAGTAGAAATATTGCCAGCTAAATCGCGGAAAGTTTATGAAACCGCGTATTCAATATCCGGGAAAAAAGTTCCCATTTTTTCCCCGGGGAAAAAAGTAATTTCATAAAAAGTGACATTTATTACCTGTCAACAGAGTTAAAATGTCAAACTTTTTCCCGTCATAGAAAAAAACTATATGTCTGTCATGTTTGAACTATCACCTGTCAGATTGTCAAACATCTATTCTAACCATAATTTTATTTGCGATTCCAGCCTCATGCTTTCTTTGCAGTTTTGCCGTCAGTTTTCGTGGTTTTCTTCTACTACTGTTCCTACCTTTTTCTTATCCCAAAACTATTGACTTTCAAATGACTGGTGTCTCTGGCGACCACTGTATATCTCTGCGGACTTTTAGTACTAAATTATTTAGAACAGGTTCTGAAAATGTTGACACTAAATTTGTTCATAAAAACTTGATTACGTAATTTAATGGAATTTTAATAACGTATCGTGACAAAATGCCTTAACACAAAGCTCAGACAAGGAATCTTTAAATATTTCTCCATGTATTCACTGATTTTGTGAAACAAGGTGAAAGTGCACACTGAATCATTGAAGCCTGTTAAAAAGATGGTGAATGTGCCAGTGCAGTGATGGTCGATTCTAAAAATGGTGGATGTGCTTAGTCATTTCCTACGAGAGTTCTACATATTATTTCTATATATTTTTTAGATTTTGCTTCACAAGTTTCTATACATTCTTCAGACACATTATGACTTCTTTTTGAATATGACTAGGTATATTATTGAAAAATCTATATTGTACGGATAAGTAGACAACACTGAAATAGACATGTTTGCTGTCCGTCTCTGTAACTACGACCCGTAGGGATCTTTCACTGTATGTAACGAAGATGAAGTTCAGCTTAATAAACTGTTGGTAGGTGCAGATCGCTAGATTTTTCGCTTACCTCCGCAGAGTATTTTGAGCTTTTCAAGTGACCATACCCATCCCTAGTCTTAAAGTAGAGATCGTTTATTGAGAAACAAAGTTTCATACATAATTCGGTATAAAACTTGTTAGGAAAAGATATGTTACTGAATTTTGTTGTCAATTTTTAAGAATGTTAATAAATTCTTGTAATACATTTCGTATGAGGTAAGAAATAGTTATTTATTGTACAATGGAAAAAAGTAAGTCAGTTTCCCGTGTATAAAACACATTTTTTTCTGTGAAGTGAAAAACGACGATTTGATATTGAAAATTCTATTATTACAATATTTAAGTTAGAAAATTATCGATGTGAAACTTGAATTTTGAAATTAGTACAATATGTCACACTTATAGCGACAATTAGACCTGCGTTGCTAAGGAAACTTTTAAAGTAATCAAATAGCTGTCAATTTAATTTTGTTTGAAAATTTTGAGCTTAGTGGTTGTTTAGAAGTTATTTTTAATACTATAAAGTGAAAAATGGCTGATTCCGAGTTTTCTTTGACCACACCGGAATTAGTAGAAGTAGCCAAGGTCACAAAACTTATTGCCAGCTAAATATATGTTTATACAATATCAAGGAAAAAGTACTCATTTTTTCCCCGGGGAAAAAAGTGTTTTTTTAAAAAGTGACATTATATTACCTGTCAACAGAGTTAAAATGTCATGTTCGAACATTTCATAATGTTAAACATCTATTCTAACCATACTTTTTGTTACGGTTTCGGCCTGATATTTTCTTTGCAGTTTTGCCGTCAGTTTTCGTGGTTTTCTTCTACTGCTGGTCCTACCTTTTTCTTAGTCCAAAACTATTGGCTTTCAAATGACCGATGTCTCCAGCGATCACTGTATATCTCTGCGCACTTTTGGTATTAAATTATTACTAACGTATCGTGAGAAAATGGCTCAACACCTAGCTTAGCCAATGAATATCTAAATATTCTTCCACGTATTCACTCATTTTATGAAGCAAGTGCACACCGAATCATGGGAGCCTGTTCAAATGATGGTGAATGTGCCAATACAGCGGTGCTCGTTTTTAAATAATAGCGGATGTGCTTGGTCATTTCCTACGAGAGTGCTGTTATACATATTATTTCTACATATTTTTTATATCTTTATTCACAAGTTTCTATACATTCTTAAGACTCTCTATGATTCCTTGTTCTACATATTATTTCTACATATTTATTTTTATTTTTTTCACAGGTTTCTATACATTCTTAAGACTCTCTATGACTCCTTTTTTGAATATGACTGACTAGGTATATAATTGAAACATCTTTATGGTTGGATGAGTAGACAACACTGAAATAGACATGTTTGCTGTCCGTCTCTGTAACTACGACTCGTTAGCCTGGTAAAAGGATGGTGAAAGTGCCAGTGCAGTGATGGTCGTTTCTAAAAATGATGGATTTCCTACGAGACTGCTGTTCTACATATTATTTCTAGATATTTTTCTTCATAAGTTTCTATACATTCTTAAGACTCTCTATGACTACTTTTTTGACTATGACTGTCTAATTTATATGGTTGGATGAATAGACAACACTGAAATAGACATTATAGTTGTCCGTCTCTGTAACTACGACCCGTATGTAATGAAGATGAAGATCAGCTTATCAAACTGTTGGTAGGTGAAGATCGCCAGATTTTTCGCTTACCTCCGCAGAGCATTTTGAGT